ATTTGGGTGGATGACAGTTCACAAGCTCAAATGAGCATGCCAAATCAGAAAGAAATATGTTAAAAAGAAGGGGGGCAAGGACACATCCTTGTTTAACACCTTTCTTAGATGGAATTTTGTCAGCCTACCATTTGGAGAGAACTTAACTGGACTTGTTGTGGCTGTGTGTAATTTTTTTAGAAGGAATAGGAGGCATAAGTCAATTCCTAGTTTGAGCAGTTTATCCCATAGTTTTTCTCTTGAGATAGAATCGAAGGCACTTTTTAAGTCGATGAAGGCTACAAGGAGTTTTTTATTACCTAGTTTCATATATTTTTCGGCTAGGCTAGAAAGAATCAGACAATGATCTAGGGTTGATTGAAATGTTAACTTGAATGCAATCCATTTTGGAACAATATTTTACTGTGGAATTCTTTTATCTAGCAACACACACAGTCTGATTTTTATGGCTGTTCAAGTCAAGGTTTGAGATAGACACCCTCAAAATGACATGTAAACGTTCATTTGTAAGTGTTGACCTAAACTTGGATTTCACAATTTTTCATCTTGGAGAAAGTTTATTCACAGATGTATGTAGTATCAAAGACTGTGAACATGCCTGCAGCAAATTTCTTTAGGTAAATAAATATATCAGGTAGACCAGAATAGACCTCTAAAAGACTACTTTCTTTGTAAATGTCTCTGAGATGATCACTGGCTTGCAAATCAAGTAGTTCCATCTGAAAAAAGTTACTTGCATCTTCTGGTGCTACTTCAGATGGATTCTGAAACATTCTTATTTCCTTTTCATGCTTATGGCAATCAGTGAATCTGTTCTGGAATTCCACCTGCAATAGGTTCAGTGCTTAAATGTGTCTTTCAACACTGAATTGTAAATTCTCACCCTTCTCAAATTTTAGTCCACTGCAGCATGAGAAAGGGCAGCCTCCCATCTGGATCAGAGGATATGCCATTAAGTACAAATTATCTGCAGGGTTGCACATACACATCACTGCCTGCCAGCCAAGCCTCAAACATGGGAAGCAAAATGGCAGCTGTGGGGAGGGAAACTTGGTTGGAGAAATATGTGGGAAGGGGAATCCCATAACCTTCCCTATTAAGAGAGCACTCCTTCCCTCTCAACCCAAGGAGCCACTCACTGGCTCCTGCAATCAGAGATGCACGAGAAGGCTCCTAGCTGGAGTGGGTGGGGGAGGAGAGGCAGAAGTCAGAGCCACCAGCTGTTGTTGAGGAAGGAAGAATGCTTTTACCTGCAGCAGCAACCTCATCAGTAACCTGGGAAGCCACTTGGAGGAGCCTTGATGTGTGGAGCCTCTAGAAATTTTCAGTATGCAAAACACTTAGTATTAGGGTTGCCAGCCCCCAGGTCCCAGCAGGGGTTCCCCCACTTTTGGGGGTCTGATCTGCCACTGGTCAGCTGTCTGGTGGGGGAAACTCCACCTCAAACAGGGACAGCCTCACATGAAGTGATATCATCATGTTGGCAATGTCACACAGCAATGCTCTGGTTTTGGGGCAAACTCTATAATTTTGAAGCCAAAATACCATAGAGTTTTTGCCCCAAAACCAGAGCATCACACACAATGCTGCCGCTGACATAATGACATCACTTCCTGGAGACATCATTACATTCAGGATGTTGCATGTGATGTCCCACCCACTTCTGGAATGCCCCCCAACCCCCCCCCCCCCCCCATTATGATGGTGAGGGGACCTGGCAACCCTACTTTGTATGCTTTTTTTGCAGAAATACCAGCCCTTTTACTGTCCTTTCCCACCTTTTTTGCAAAAGCAGGCCAGACATCTCCTGTACCCATTCACACAGCTGCTTTATTTTCCTTACACACATATATAGCCTTCACCATGGTAATGCATGGAGAGGAGGAGTGAAAAAGCTGAGTGGGTCTGAGGGAAAATGCCCTGAGGGCTGCACAGAAAGAGGTTGGGGGCTGCATCTGGTCTGTGGGCTGCAGGTTGGGGACCCCTGCCACAGATGGCTGAGTAGCAATACCCTTAGCAAGAGAGGGGGAAAGAAGCAGGCAGCTGGTTTGGACACAAACTTGGATTTATTACCTAATTCTATTCATTTCACACACATTCTGTGCTGATTTGCTATGTATAGATACATATGTATAGATACATATAGATACCTGCATTTTTTTCCTCTCAAGGGGCCTTAGCACCATGCATTTAATATAATTTGGAGCATAAATGCTCCATTATGCATTTCACCCTGCCCTCAATCTGGACCCTAGTAGTTGCTTTTAGCATTAAAAATGTGTTTAGTTTGACTTCCTTTTTTGGGTTGGTGTTTTTTTCCCCTTTTATATGTGCATGTGTGTGTGCGTGAGTGCACGTGCACATGTGAGTATGTGTGCACCTGGGATTCATGGCAACCTCTGGTGACTGACGCCTATGGGGGGGCCTGGAGGATATTCAGAGGGGTGGCTGAATAAAGCCTGCCCCTGCCTCCCATCTCTAGTATTTCAAGGAGGTTTCCCATCCAAGTACTTGCCAAAGTCGACCCTGATTATCTTCCAAGATCAGGCAATTCAGGTCAGGGCAGCTTGACTTTCAATGGCATAAATAAGATGACTTTGGTCCCTGTTCTATGGAGAACTAAATAATCTATATAACCAATTTAAGTTGCCTAGTCTCTCTCATACATAGACATGAGCCATACATTTTAAATAAATTAGGGCTGCAAAAACTCAGTCTACTGATCAACCATAAGCCTATAACTGCTGTGGTAGAACTGGTAACCAAGATTGCTATATATTTTTTCAGTTCTGAATGGGACTCGCGTTTGAACAATTGAACTAGATTCCTCTAGATTTTATTTTGGTCCCTAAGAATATGAAATAATATTTTCTAGGTATTACTTTGAGTTTTTCAGCCATATTGTTACATTTTGTTAGCAGGTTACATAAACAGTAGTTAGCAGTAAAATCCATAATATCAGCACATTAGATATTCTTTAAAAGGATTATGTCTCTCTTGATCATAACAAACATTTTAATGACACTGAGGGCTAGAGGAAGACATTGTTATACCAAGTGGCCAGCTAAAAGGAATATGTATAAAATTTTATCCTGAAAAAAACTGCCAGTGTACTTGGTGTTCTAGTTATAGCTAACGGGGATTTTGCACATCATGTTCCTACTGCAAATGTAACCAGGGTATGCATTTCGATACAACACAAAAACAAGCTAAAATACCAATACGCTTAGTTTTTAAGCAGAATATAGCTCTGACAAAACATGAACTAGGAGAATCAGTGTCTTTTGATAATAATGTAGGCTTCCTTCTCTCATTATGTTAGGGGAACCTAAACAGCATAATAAAAAGTAGAGACATCATCCTGCCAACAAAAGTCCGCATGGTCAAAGCAATGGTATTCCCAGTAGTCATGCATGGCTGCGAGAGTTGGACTATAAGGAAGGCCGAGCGCCGAAGAATAGATTCTTTTGAACTATGGTGCTGGAGAAGACTCTTGAGAGTCCCTTGGACTGCAAGAAGATCAAATCAGTCAATCCTAAAAGAAATCAACCCTGACTGTTCCCTGGAAGGCCAGATAATGAAACTGAAGCTCAAATACTTTGGCCACCAAATGAGAAGGGAGCACTCACTGGAGAAGGCCCTGATGCTGGGAAAGATTGAAGGTCAAAGAAGACGGGGACGGCAAAGGATGAGATGGTTAGACAGTGTCGTAGATGCAATGAACATGAAATTGAGCAAACGTCAGAGGACGGCGGAAGACAGGAGGGCCTGGCGTGATCTTGTCCATGGGGTCGCAAAGAGTTGGACTCGACTGTGTGACTGAACAACAACTCTCATTATGTTATCATACACAATTGTCTACCCAAGATGCATGTATTTTTTAACATGGGAATAGTAATGCCATTGCCATTCATTATTTTTGGCATAACCTATGTGCATGGAAAGAGATAAAGAGATCAGCTTCTACATGTATGGTTTGAGTGAAAAACAATGACACCCATGAGACCATTTGCACAATTCAAAACAATAGATATTTCTTCATAGACAAGTGCAGATGTGTGCATGAAAACACCATATTCTGTTCTTAAAAGCGGTCTGGTATGGCTTCCATGAACACCTCCTTCTATTAAATTGTAATCAAATCAAAGACCATAGGCTGCAAGCCTACTCTGACTATTCCAAAGTGCCCATACTAAAGTAGTTTATTCTTGTTGTTCTGGGCATTTCCCCTATTACCACTCTTTCCAGGTGGATATAAATTAGAATTTCCCAGTTCAGGTGGATATAAATTAACATTTCCCAGTTGAGGGTGGGGGGAATAAAGTGAAAATGCATCAAGTAGCAAGGAACCAAGTAAGAAGGAAGGGACTAGACTGCCATTCTCAGATTTAAAGTAGTAGATATTGTCTATTTCATAACATGAGCCATGGCTCTACAGTGTGTATCTTGGGGTTGACAACATCATGCTAGGAAATTCCTAGAGATTTTGTAGTAGAGCATGACAAGGTTGGGTTTGGGGAAGGGTAGCAACCTCAGCAGGTATATTGTCATGTGGACCATCCTCTAAAGCAGCCATTTGCTCCAGGGGAACAGAACTCTGTAAGCTGTATGTCCGTCATAACTCTGGAATATCTCCAGGCCCTGCCTGGAGATTGGCTCCCCAAGTGTATCTGTCATACACCTGTTTCAAATATGATGTGGTGTACACTTTTGGGATATATTCTCTTAATGCATAATATGTGAAATACCCATAGATTCCTCTGTTTTGATTAATTAACAGAGATAGCAGAAGCACATGCTTAGTTTCAGGACTGTCATTCTATTTGTCATGGATAACTTTTTAAATGTATAAGGTTGGCAAAAATGATTTACGGTGTATTGTGATTATTCTTCCCTTATAAATTACAACAGCCTAAACTAATTTAAATCCTGCATAATTATTATGTACAACTGTAAAATGTTTTTTAAAAGCAAAAAGCAAAACTTGGTAGAAATCTTACCTGCTACATAGTCACCAAAGCCAATGGTCGTTAAAGTAATAACTACAAAATAAATTGCATCTAGTGTATTCCAGCCTTCTATCCGCTTGAATGTGACTGCAGGGAGAGCAACAAACAGCACACAACCAAACAGTATGAATATTATTGTTGATATGATGCGAATCTTTGTCTGACTCACGTTCCATTTCTGGGGGGGGGGGAGAACAAACATGAGGAAGGGGAGACAGAAATAATAATCCACTATTAGTAAAACATATTGCACTGTTTTGCTAAAATTCTCAAGGCAATGTTCAAAAGTTTCAAAACCATATTAGAGATTACAAAGTAAAAAATAAGAAAAACAAACAAGAGAAAGTATTAAACCCATTTAAAAGGCATAAGAATAAAAAAAACTGTACCTAGTGAATCTTTTGGGGAAATTGATTACAAATCTATGGTGCAATCATGGAGAGTGCCCTGGTCCAAGCAAGCCTGCAGGAGCATTTACACCATGCCCTCCTAAGCAGTTACACCCTTCTAAGCCCAGTACTTAAATTCCCACCGCTCAGGTGGATCTGTTTGCTTCAACAAAGGAGTGAATTAGTAATACCTACAAACATGCCAATCAATGCACCTTTGATGCTGTTCACATAGGAGGAAGCACAATCCTACTCAGGGTTGCCAGCTCTGGGTTGGAAAATACCTGGAGACTTTGGTGGTGGACCCAGGAGAGGGCGGGGTTTGGGGAGGGGAGGGACCTCAGCATGGTACATTGCCATGGAGTGCACCCTTCAAAGCAGCCATTTTCTCCAGGGGGGCTTATCTCTGTCAACTGGAGATCAGTTGTAAAAGCAGAAGATCTCCAGGCCCCACCTGGAGACTAAGAACCCTATACTCAGAAGAGCCTAAATAGACATGAAGCAGGAGATATGTGTTCAGTAGGGTTACCAGGACAATCAGTGGGGGATGGGGGAGACCATTCTGCTTAAAATTCTGCAACATTCTGCTTAAAAGCTAAGAGTAGGGCTGCCTGGCAACTGGTGGGGGATGGGGGGACTTACCAGGAGAAAGAGAAAGGCCCAGGCCTTGTTGCTGACATCACACAGGAAGTGATGGTATCACTCCAGCAACTTCCTGGAGATGCTTTCGTGTTTGGGCAAAACTCTATGGTAAAACTGGCTTCTACCACAGAGTTTTTGCCCAAATATCAGAGCATCACCCATAAATCGCTGGTGTGATACTGTCACTTCCTGTACAATGCTGGCTATGTCACTTTCCTCTTTCTCCCTGATTACATTGGTCTAATGAATATATCCCCTTAAGTACTGACATTCATAAGATCATCAAATATATTGAAGCTTGGTTAGTGATACTCCAGGTTGTTCACAGCTGCCCACCATTAGTTACAGAAAAACAAGAAACATTAAAGATTAGATAGTGAGGGTTGATACTAGCAAACCACCTGTTTCCAATCTTCCAGCAGATCAGTATAGATGGTGGTGAATGCAAAATCTGAGGGCTTTGTTTAGAGGACAATGTAGTAAACCCACCAAAAAGATTATAAGACTTTATTATGTTAAGAGAAAAAGTGGAAACACTGCTTATAGTCTTTGGCACCTTTGGGTTTGAATCTTGAGTTTGATTTAAGTTGTTTTTTATAACTTCCATTAGAATGTATCCCTAGGACTTCTGTATTACCCTCAAAATTTTATTTGGCCTTTGAGGACATAGTGATAGAACCTCTGAAACAGATATGTCAGAATGTAGCCCTAAATGAAAAAATACCCGAAACATGGAAAGAAGCTTTAATATCCTTAATATATAAACAGAACACGGACAAAACAGAAATAAAAAATTATAGACCTATCTCCCTACTAAACGTGGACTATAAAATTTATGCCTCCGTCTTGGCAAGTAGAATGAAAATAGTTCTGTCGCAAACAATACATGAAGACCAAGCGGGCTTCCTACCCAAAAGACAACTGCAACAAAACATAAGGATGGTGTTGAACATCTTAGAGTACTATGAAGCCCACCCCAAAAAACAAAACATACTAATTTTTTTGGGATGCCGAAAAAGCATTCGACAACGTCAGCTGGAATTTTATGTTGGAACTCCTAGCCAAATCACAGCCAGGTGTAAACTTTTATAAAATGGTTCAAGCAATCTATAAGGAACAGCAAGCTAAGATATGCATCAATGGAGACTTATCACAAACGGTGAAGATAAATAAAGTAACTTGAAAAGGCTGTCCTCTGTCACCACTACTTTTTATTTTTGTCCTGGAAAACCTAAATAATCAAATCAGAGCAGAGAATCAAATTAGAGGACTGAAACTAAAAGGAGAAGAATATAAGCTATTGGCTTTCGCAGACGACCTGGTTTTTATACTGGAAAATCTGATAGAATCCATTACTAGATTGATATTGATTTTACAAAAGTATGGAGAGGTGGCTGGTCTTAAAATTAATTACTAGAAGACAAAAATGTTAGTCAAAAACATGACAAACACACAAGCTCTTCATATTCAAAATATCACTGGCTTTGAAATACAAAAGAAAATTAAGTACTTGGGAATAAACTTAATGAACAAATGTAGCTCATTAATGGAAAATAACTATAAGGAGTTACTGAACAAGATAAAAAAGGGCCTAGAAAAATGGAAAGATCTTCAGATATCATTGATGGGGAGGATAGCCACCATCTCTATTATAAAGCTGTCACTTTATCTTAGATCAAAGATTGGATAATAGTGGAAAATAATAGACTCTTAAAGCTGGAAGGTCACAATCTCCTATTGGGATGACACACTTTTGCATGGTATGGAAAAGTGAATAGCCACAAATATTTTAAACAACATTGGCTTAGAGCCACCCTACTGAAAGTGTGGGAGCAAATTAGGAATGACTTCTACACAAAGACCCCAAGATGGGTGGCACCTCTAGAAGCCTTCACAAACCCAAGTGTACATCAAGAAGACAATATTATAAGACACCAAGAACTATTGGATACACGGCTGGAGCGAAAAAAATACAAAGAAATAATTGGTGGGAAAGAGCTCAAATTGCATGGATCAGAAATTTATAAGAAAAATGTATAATCTATTATTAGAGCACAGAATGCAAGACGAAACAGTCAAGAGAGTTATGATAAAATGGGCACAAAATCTAGGTCACAACATAGAATTAGATCAGGGGTCACAAATTTGGAAAACAAACTTAAAAATTACGAGAGCAAAAACATATAAGGAAAACATCTACAAGATGTTCCACAGATATCACCCCAGATATCCTGTCAAAAATGGACCCAAAATGTCCCAATACCTGTTGGAAATGCCAAACTTCCATATGTGGTGGCAATGTGAAAAGGCGAAAAAGTTTTGGATGGGGGTGCATGAAATAATCCAAAAAACCTTAAAAATTCCTATACCCTTTATTCCAGAAATATTTCTGTTAAATATAATACCAGAGAGATGTGAAAAGAATGATTTATATTTTATATAGCATGTGGTAACTGCTGCCAGAATATTATATGCTAAGTTTTGGAGGACAACAGAATTGCCATCTAAGAGAGATATTGTGAACAAAATACTTCAAGTAGCAGAAATTGATAAACTTTCATTACGTTTAAAGGATCAAACAGAAGAAATCGATGAAAATACTTCGGCCAAGTTCTATAGTTGGATTGGAAACTATGATAACGTGAAAATGTTGGCTAATTAAAACCCGAGAAAAGATATTGTTAAAATCTTTCTATCCTGTATAAAAGATAAGATTACTTAATGAATAGTATTGACAAGGCAAAATTCTTAGATAAGATGTGAAATGAACACCCCATGTTTTTTATGTTTATTTTTTGTTTGTCTATCTGTATATACATAATAAAGAAACATTATTTTTTTTAAAAAAATAATGTATTCCCAGGACTTCAACTCTGCTGTAAAATTAGATGTAAGTTTTTGCGGTTGTAACTCCAGACCCAGCAATTTTCAGTATAATAATTGAGCACACACAACAGCATGTGCTGTCTTTACAACTAAAAGACATGTCAGAAGTCAGATCCCACTGTCTGCAGGCTGTAGTCGTGAAAGTTGGGTGACTCTTTAGAGAAACACAGACTGTGTACGTTTTGGGTTTGCTGAGTCTGGGGACTTACTTGAATGTAGATGTAAATGGAATATGATATCATTATGTTCGTAGTTTTCATTCTGGCTTTGACAAAGAAAATTTTTGAAACGCGTCAGCCAGCTGAGATTTGTTCTAGAAGAACTTACATCCATACCTGAAGTCAAGTTATGAGGCATCTTCAGATGGAAAAAAAATAATAAGTTCTGCTCAATTGTATTTATGTATTTGAAATAGTCTGTTAGCGATGGCGAACCTAAACAGCATGATAAAAAGTAGAGACATCATCCTGCCAACAAAAGTCCGCATGGTCAAAGCAATTGTATTTCCAGTAGTCATGTATGGCTGCGAGAGTTGGACTATAAGGAAGGCCGAGCGCCGAAGAATAGATTCTTTTGAACTATGGTGCTGGAGAAGACTCTTGAGAGTCCCTTGGACTGCAAGAAGATCAAATCAGTCAATCCTAAAAGAAATCAGCCCTGACTGTTCCCTGGAAGGCCAGATAATGAAACTGAAGCTCAAATACTTTGGCCACCAAATGAGAAGGGAGCACTCACTGGAGAAGACCCTGATGCTGGGAAAGATTGAAGGTCAAAGAAGACGGGGACGGCAAAGGATGAGATGGTTAGGCAGTGTCATAGATGCAACGAACATGAAATTGAGAAAACTTCAGAGGACGGAAAACAGGAAGGCCTGGAGAGATCTTGTCCATGGGGTCACGAAGAGTCGGACTCGACTGTGCAACTGAACAACAACAAAATACCCAGGGGAGTTATGTATTGGATGTACAAGTATCTGTATATGTTTAGTTAAGCTATATTCCATACCCATTATATAACAATAGAGAAACTCTGACGTAAGTTAACACAGTGTGTCTTCTTTTTGGTTTACACCACCAGGAGGTTGGCAACCCTAGCTTGAGGAAGCTTGCAATTGAAACAATAAAACTAAACATGACCACGGAAAATAAAACAAAGTCATTAAGCAAGCCACTAAAAACAAGCTTATACCAAACAAGTCACTGAAAAGCAAGCTCACCATTGCAATAAGCCACTAGAAAATAAGCCATTAAAACAAGCCAGGGCATAACAACACCATAAAACACAAATCAAGCAGTCTAAATGATGCCGATAAAATGAATCTCAGGCCAGAAGCAGACCATAAAACATCTGAGAGAAAAAAGCCTGGGAAAGGAATGTTTTAGCCTGGTGCCTAAAAGAAAGTAAGATAGGCAGGAGGCAAATCTGATATGGCAGGGCATTCCAGAGGCATGGTGCCACCATGGAAAAAGCCCTGTCTCTGGTTGCCAACTACTTCAGTTCTGAAGGTGGGGGCACAGAGTGCAGATCTTCTGAGGAGGCTCTTAATTGGTGGGGTGGACAAATAGCCTGAACTTGGATAAAGTTTTCTACAGAACAAATGAATCAGTTCTGGATAAGTAGAAATAAAGGGCACTTTTATTTGAGAGTAAAGTATAGCAATAACATATGCAATGTCTCAGTATTTTTAAAGGTAAAGGTAAAGGTTCCCTTGCTCGAAAGCCAGTCGAGTCCGACTCTAGGGTTGCAGTGCTCATCTCCGTTTCAATTCCGAAGAGCCAGCGCTGTTCAAAGACATTTCCGTGGTCATACCTCTAGATAAACTGATTCCATTGGATGGTACTGGCATGTATCCTACCACCCTAATGAGCAAAGGCTAAAGCATTCTTCCAGCTTAAGGAACTGGAGCTCTTCCAACAGAAAAGCTACTTAAATTGGAGGAAGGCCCCGGTCACATGGGCCAGATAATGTGGGGGGAGGCGTGGCTATTTGTGCCATTGCAATTGGACCCGGCACTACGGGATCAGATGCGATGGCAGTGAACCAGGGTTTTTTTCAGTGGCACGTGTTTCCAGCACGCTTCAATGAGGCAAGAGGAGTGCGCTGGAGTGATCAGACGGAGACAGTGCATCTGCGGCCCGTCGCAAACCGGTTGATAGTGGACTTTCGCTGGTACTTTTTCACTCCGGATCTTTGGCTGGACAATACGGGCTGGTGACGGGTGCGTTACACTTGCCAGATGTGTCCATTTTATCACACCCTTAAAATCCACCCAGCATTCATTAGTATCCCGCGGCAAATTCTGCGTGTGACCTGGGCCGAAGGCTACTTATACTGGAGGAAAGCACCTTACACTGGAAACACATCAACCAACCTAAGGTTGGATATATGACAGTGCAACGACTACCCAATCTGTGATCAAGAATAACTACTTCACAGTATGAGGCTAATGTCATACAGCAGTTATCATATGAAGTACACAGTGGTCTGAATTAGCTGATAACATATCATTCCCTTAAGAAGAATTTGCGAGTCAACAACAGAAACACCATAATGCAAATAATGAAAAGGATGCAAAATATATACATTTTATTTCATTATTTCTCACATTGGCCTGTTTATATTCATTTATTTATTGGCCTGCTTATATTTATTTAGTCATTTGGCTTCTTTATGTTCTTCAGGAATTTATTTCCCAGGATAATGATGAATATTTATAATACGATTGCTACCAAAGCCAGTGCATGTGCAAATTGTTTCACAGAGATGTTAATATAGTTTTCAGGGAAATGTCATGATTTGAAATGAAACATAATGCATACTATGTAATGAATTTGATTTCAGTTTCCTTAGGATCACTCTGCACATTACAACTACTGCGGGAAACACTGGTGGTACATTGCAGATGATATCCACCCTCTTTTTGCTCCAGGGAATACTGGTATAACAGCAAAGCAGTTACCTGTAGATTCCTTTCCTTTAGTTTT